TAAATTTATTTGAATAAATGATTTTCTATTGCAAAAACTCAACACTATGATTTTATGATAGTACAGGAATAATATAGATTATTCCATACATATAGCTCAAAATAAATTAACATAGGTACCTACAATTAAAGAAAACCATGAAATTCACATTTTGTTAATAGATTTGTAGATTAATAGTTTATTTTAGAAGAGTTATTTCTAACGGTACATAAAGTTGAAATGACTGTTTGTTTTCACACATAAACAAAACTAATAATGTCCCTATGCAATTCCTTTGTGTACAGTCGTATAGTCGTAATATAATGTTGCATGTACCTATTGTTAGGAATGCACTTCATCAGATCGACTAAAATCGTCTAAGTCCTCCGAAATGTCAACGTATGAGGGTTTTTTTATGGATGAATTGGTGCATCCACCTGTGCTAACTGTATTCGCTGTGCCGATGGCGGATGATAGAATGATTATGAAGTCAGGTCAGGCAGCAAATCGTGACAAATTGTTGTAGCATTGATAGGAATTAACCACCACCAACCAACCATTTCAGGGTGTGGCAGTTGTACCCCCACGATTAGTAAACGATGACGTTCGGGGTGATATTCATGTATGTTGTCCACGCACACCGATGCGAAAATGTAAAATGTGTTTTTTTTTTCAAATAGGCTTTAAGTAAATCTGCTAATAGATCGGGACCATCATCCTCCTACGAAATAATACTTTTTCTTGTATGGAACGCAAGACATTATGGTCAATTTCTTTAAGAACTTAGAGCCACCTTTAAGTCGACCTCAGTTGTATCTAGGGCTGTTCTTGTATGATTCCACATCACGAACGCGAACAAAAATATTGCGCCTCAAGAAGATAAATACATTAAAAAAATACAAAATTAATATTTCGTAAAGTCTATACGTATTTGTTTCAAAAATTACATAATACATAACAATAATTCTAAATCATACATTAATGGTTTTTTGTGTTGAAAAATTAATAATTTATTTACTTATTTGAGTTATATTTTGGGATTTTCACGATACCATCAACTAACGTAACGTAAAATTAAGTGAAAGGTAAAATTATTAATTTAAACATGCCTATAATAATACAATCTTAATCTGGAGCTTTTGCAATAATTTCTTTAAGATGCCTGTTACTCTAATAATCAGTAAACAACTTAATTGCATGGTATACCTACTGTCTACGTCATTTACCTAGATATGAATGTATTGAGTAAATATTTCTGTGTGCTAGATTGAAATGGAACCATTAATGTGGGCAGTGTATGCTTTATTAGGATATCCGTTACAAAATATACGTAGTTAATATTTCTTCATTTGATTATTTTGAATTATTAATGTGGTAACATATTAGTATAGTAAATTATTATCTACTATACTAATATGTTTGTATATATGTTTATAAACACATATTCATTAATACCATATTTAGTGTCGTAACAATTGACAAGTTTGACCAATGGACATAATTGCTAATAGGGATGTGACATCCAGACTACAAAATCGAATATTAATTACTCGGTTTTGTTACTAGAATAATCGATATTTTCATATGTAATTAATAGAATAGAATAGAAAATCCTTTTTTGAAATAAACTTCAATTGAGGCGCTTTGAATAATCATAATTTTTTTAATCAACAGCTCATTCGGAAAGCTTTCTCATCACAAGAAGAACAAGCAAGAACATGACAACCAGTACTTGCGTGTTGCAGTAATTAATTACAGTTAAATTATTAAATAGACAAGATTAAATCAGTCATAGTGATTAGAGCACCAGTACCCACAAGCAGCACTTGTTCACGAATTAGACGGATGAGCACGCCATCACTGCGCTAGGTCATATTTTAGTGAGCCCAATGACCTGGCCCACCACGCTGCCACATGTCTGGATGTTTTAGTCAGCATGACTAGTCAAGACACTCGACACCTTATAATATAACATAACATAATTTATCACAACCCTAATTTTTTTATTATTCAGCCTTAGTGTGTTTTTTGTCACTGTTTGGTCTTATTTTATAGGTTGCTTGTTAAAATCGTAAGATAAAAATCATCGGTACAAAAATACGATTAATAATTCATTGATTTGTTTAGTATATTTTTTTATAGATATTACAAATTTATTATTTGTTCACATCCCTAATTGGTAATGATTGTATCATTTTTGTGATGTCACTTAATCATTCGATTACTTGGTTCTGATGGCCATTCACCTATTATTTATAAAAAAATATTCTCAGCGTAGTGTAAACTTGAATTCTTATCTTATTAAATTTTAAAACTGTCAATTGGACGGTTTTGTAGGAAATCGCTATAAAAAGTAGAGTAGGTGTTGCTTATCTTATTTTCATTGTGCAGGCATTCTGCTTCTCATCATGGCGGGATGTGAATGACCTCATAGTTTATCGCTTTTATCGCCATACCAAACGAACTGTTCCGCGTTGGATTAAAATGCAAGTCGTGGGCACGTATTTAACTACCCTCATTCTCACTCCTATTATTAAAATAAAATTTATAGAGGTATTAAGGAAGAGGTTAAGGAGGAGGCATCGTAATTGCTGTTTTTCTCAATCGTAGTGACAACGCGACATATTCGGTAAAGGTTTCAGTGGTCTAGCGGTTTAGCACACTGCTTCACTTCCGATGGTCGAGGGTTCGATTCCTGGCATTTGTTATTAATAAGTATGATTGTTTATATTGGTCTGGGTATTTTCTACGAATATTTATAATAATATAATATCCCTGGACCGTTATCTGGAGACACAGCGCCATCTAGTCCTAAGTTAAGCAGAGCCTGTGTTATGGGTACTAGGCAACTGATAAATATATTAGCATATATTGTGAATATATACGTAGTATACATAGAAAATATTATGTGTGCGTTTACAAAAAAAACTATCATAGTATTTCTATCAGTTGTCAAATACACATAATTACCATAAGCTCTGCTGAGCTTGGGACTAGATGGTGCTGTGTGAAATGTCATGGTTTATTATTATTATTATTTAACAATAAAACTTTCACTCAGTCATTCGTTGGCCGACCAGTACTTATTTTGATGATAATAAAAAGATTTGCCTACTGATATGATATGTTATGTCACGATGGACTTAGATAATCAATTTTGTTATAGAGATATTATAAAAAGGAAAATCGTTGTTGTTGGTATATAATATACTGGCTACACGCCCCGGCTTCGCACGGGTGTGCGAATATATTATATATATAATAATATATATAAACCTACCCCTAAAATCACTATCTATTTAAAAAAACCGCTTTAAAATCTGTTGCGTAGCTTTAAAGATTTAAGCATACTGTAGTCGCTGCCACTGTCTGTACCTATGAACAGACAGCGCAGGCGACTTTATTTTATACTAAGTATGTAATGATACCAACACTAACGTTTTTTTTATTTTAACCATTACTACTACTATATTATGTAATGGTTTAACAAAAAAAATAATTGACAATTTAAAAAAGAACACTGTATTTCTTTTATGTAAAATACCTCCTGCCTTGATTAACGGATCCTGGATCAGTCCGGATGCACTATTTCTTTATCATCCCTAAAAATACCCATACATTTCACCTCTAAATAAAATGCACTGTATGAGTATCCCTACGGCAGGTAGGTAATCCCTAACTAAAAATACTCTAAAAATAGTTAACGTGTCCGTCTAATGCGCTTCCTGTGTTGTAAGAGCATTCGACGTTAACAAATGACTCACTGCCTGGAGTAAAAGCTATGGTATGTTACGTATAGCGACCAATACGAAACGCGTCAAGTCAAAAGCTTTTTGGAGTGCAATTTCAAGAAGCATGTTTTGTTACAAAACAAATACTTTATCAATCCTGATAAAGATTTGTGTAATAACATGAAAATCTTTTCCTTTTGGAGGGTAGTAGTTACACAAATATGTCTGTAAAGTGATTGGACATCACTAGTATTGGTGTACATCACTAGAGCAGAGAGCGCTGCTTATTGTGTAATGTTATTAAAATTACAATTTTATACACATTACACACAATAACAAGTAATATTTTTGTAATAAATATTATCTACTACAAAAAATATTATTTATTGGATATCAATTATATGGCGAAGTCTGTAGGATCTTTATTTGTTACTATGATTTTTTATAACGCCAGATTTGTAAATTTTTGTAAGGTGGTTTCGTCACTTTCACCTATTTTCCAGGGAGACAGCATACGCGAGCAGTTGCCTAGGTTCTTGGCCGAAAAATTACATTAATTAGAGGTGCAAAATAACTTTTTCCGTACAATGTAAAAAGAATAAAAAATCATTTGTATATCCAATATTTAGAGTTACCTACCTACCTTTACCATGGCGGGAAATAAAAACATACCTAGATTAGAGGCGGATTGCCGCTGCTGTTGTTACAGTTACAATTGCATTGAATATCTTGTTTAACTCAAATATTTTTAAACAATACAAAAGTTTTACTTGACATTCCTATAAATAATTAAATATACTATAATCAATAATATTTAATAAACGTCTAATGTTAATAAATAAATTTGTGCGAATGTAGGTAGTTCATTTCGTTCAGAATGAAATAATCAAATAGTGTGTGTAACACTGTAACTCATATTTATAAACGGGCCTCCTCTAACAATATCTATATTATTCTTCTGTATGTAGGTACTATCTAAAATCGGTCGTCTTAGAATGACGAATACAATACAACATCCTACGAAAATACACAATGAATAACATGATCTTGTTTGTCAAGGAGTCGATTGCCATAAGCAGAAATACAGATCCAGTTGAAATGATTCATCAATTAAATAATGCTGCCGTTATCGTCACCTCACTTGGTACGTGGGGCATTTTACCATCTTAGAATATGGAATATGAATAGTTGGAATGAGCGAGAAGGAAAGTGTGGGCCGAATGACGCGGTGACGCCGAGCGAGTCTGTGGCGGTGTTCGAACGTGAGGCTATTTAAAACTCTGCGCAAGCCCCCTGGCGCCGAGTCGACAACTAATGATCAGTGTTGCCTTGTCTACCGTTGAGTGTATAACGACACCGCTGTGAATTGTGTTTACACCAAAAAGAACTCCGCCAGTGTTTGTTTAATAGTTACATCAGTTTACACATTATTGAAAATGGCTGACAGTGGTCTCAAAAGGAATATTCCCATCAAATTAGGCGACTTTTCTGTCATCGACACTGAATTCTCGAGCATCAGAGAGAGATTTGACGCTGAAATGAGAAAAATGGAAGAAGAAATGAGCAAATTCAGATCGGAACTAATGAACAGAGAAAGCAACAATTTCTTTAAGAGCACAACTAGGTATTTATTCCTATTTATTAAATGTATTACTACTAAGTTATAATTTTTAAATTAATAGATAATTTTAAGGCCCATTTTTTAGCTATTCATAATATATATAATAAATAAAACATAATAAGGGAAAATATTACTTAATAAATTCCAATTAGAATCTAATTAGGCTGTAATTCATATTATAAGCAGGTATTATAAAAATCGACGTAGGTACCTGCAAATTCAAGTGGGTGTTCAAATTGTATAGAGGCACGTCAAGTTTATGCCTATATGTAAAAGTTGCATTATTATTCCGGTCGCAATGACTACGTTGCCGGCCTTGTTTTCTTAAAAGGGAATCTTGAATTAATAAGTTTGGAGGTTTCGCAAGAAAGCCCACCTCATGCGGCCTCGACGTCACTCGACGATAGCACCACGAAAGTTTTAAATTCAAAAGGCATTATTCGGGATCATTCCGCGGAACGGCATCAACTGCAGACATCTCAGTCGCGTCCATTTAAAGCGTGCAGCGATACGTAAGCCCGACGCGGGATGATGTCATAAATAGAAATAGCGCCGGTAACATCGCCTCACAACGAGAAAACATTTTGTTGCTAAAACGCAGGAATGCGTGAAATTGTAAACACAATGTAACACGCTGTATATGAAAGTTGCGCAATGTCCGCGAATTAGTTGCATAGGTACTCCCTATAGCGTGATAAATGTAGGTACAATAACTCCATTCATAAAGTAACGCAAGCTACGAATTTTCGATGGTTTCATTGTAATAAGAATGGACCCATTTGGAAACTCTTTAGTAATATTGTTTGCGTACACCGATTTACGATTATTTTATCAGGTGTAGTGGGTGGGAAGTAACAGTTAATGCAGTTACGAACACGCTGAAATTATGTTTACGGCATGAATACCTGACCCAGTTGGGAGTCAGTAGGTACTGTTTCAGCCGCGGGAAGATCATGACGTAATCTCAATTGTTCTACGATAGGTGGCTTCTGTTTACGAAGGTACCAAATCAGCAATTTCAAATTCGAAGAGTATTTATTAAAAACGAACAATTCTCATTTAACTTGGATTGTAGACTACAAATTTTAGTTATGTATAATAAAAAACAGCAATGTCGTCACTCAATATTTTTAGGGTCTTGCTCAATTATTCAAGTGTGGGCACTTGGTGACTTGTCCGCCCATGCAGTTTAGTTGGTATAATCATAATTGTGAGTGTAGGTGTTACTGGTTGGACAAGATTTAGCAAGAAACGATTCGACATATTTAGTCTTAGCAGCTGTTACCAAAAACGAAGGTATAGGAATGTGTACATATTACATACCTAGCTACATATTCAGACAAGTGGTTATTCGACGCGTCATTCAGTTGACGTCACATATAGGTAGTCGCAGTATGTAGTATTTACATACAAAATTATTAGACAAGTACCTAGGTAGATACTTAACTTAATATTTAAAATATATTTAATGATATAACCGGTTTATTAAGTATTGTATATTTTGACGTAATAATATATATAACTTTACACATTATGTATCGATTTATGCTTAACTATCTATTTTTACTATATACTTATTTTAGAATGAACCTAATTCTATATTATATAATACCATATGCCCTTTGTAAAAAATTGAAATTGAAATTCGCTAATATCTGAGCAACATTATGTACGATATCTATCTAGATATAATTTAAACGTTAATAAATAATGTAAAAGTTCCCGTTAAATGCCTACCCGAATATTTTTTTGAACTCCTTAGGAAAACTGTTTGAGCTAATAAAACTAACAAAAATATTGCCTTTTGCATGTCTTACAATTTCGAATCTGTTTCTTCCGGAGGAGTAACCAAGTCATCAGAGAGGTAAACCCCATTGTGTATCAATGTATTATGGAACACCATTCATATTTCATTATGCATGTATTTATGTAGTTATACATTAACTATTTATGTGTCTATGTTGTTTAATTATTTGTTAACATTAATTGTATTGTAGCTAGAATTCCTATTTCTAAATATATGTTGTATCATTATTTATTAAGTTATTCGTAGTTGGGTATTTTCATTCGCAAATTCCGACAGGTTCATAACATATGGTAAAGTCTACTGATATGAGTTATAATTGTGTGTTGAAATGTGTTCAAATAAGTATTGTATTCACGCCCTTGAAGAAATGTCTGATACCGAGGTTAAGGACATTCTCACTGAACGTCTTATCCAATTCGGGCGACTGCCTTAGAAATAATTGATAATTGAATAATAAATATCATATAAGAACTAGATTTTCTACTCACCTTTAAAATAGACTTATACAATAATGTAGGGCAGATTATTTTACTGGAATGCTACGAAAATATAAATATCGAACTTATTACTTTGTAGATCCGTTTAGTTATATTTGAAATTAGTAGCTGTTACCCGCGATTTCATCCACCTGGAATTTACCCATTTTTTTTGCTGATATATATAAAAATTCTAATTTAAAAGTAGCAAGTACAATTATTCCTTATAACATTAGCTATCTGCAAATAAAAGTCCCGTCAAAATCGGTCTAGCTGTTTCAGAGGTTAGCAAGAACAAACATACAGACAAAAGGTTTTTATTTAATTATTTTTGACGTAAATGTCGTATATAATTTGCATTTACTAAAAACTGTAAATTGAAAATTTACAAAATACACTCTCATTTTCCTTATTTAATTAGATAAAATAAATAAAAAATTTGATTATAGTTTTTTAATCATTCCAGTTAAGATAGCAGTAAGTATATTCAAATCGTGGAGGGTAATGATATTTTTTTTACAATAATAAGTTCATTGACATACTATAAACCTTACGGCAATGACCGTATACTATAAAATCACGAGTAAAATGACTAAGTACGATCTTAGGAAACCAGTTTAGATTTACATCCACAAAACACATATAGTTCTTGTAAAGAAAGAGAAGAGTAGGTTTGTAAAGAATTTTAGGATTCTGTATAAAAAAAGATTAAAAAAGGAATCCTTATGGTGTTACTCTCTTTGCTGTCAGTATTTTCTCCTTGTGTTACAATGGGACATTGAAGCAATCAACTGCCGTGAACCGATATGATACTTAAACAGAATTATTTTATACAAGCTGTGTCCGTGGTTTCATTCAAGTGAAGTGTAGATATATGTTATTCTGATGTATAAGCTATATTACTGTAAAGTTTCATCAAAATCCATTCAATAGTTGATTAAATAATACAAATAGGATTTCCTTGGTTTAGACATTTGGTCTAAACCAAGGAAATCCTATTTGTATATTCCTAATTTATATTTGCGGCTATAAAATCTATAAAAAGGTTTATAGAGCGATTGAGCGATTAATTAAAAACTGCACAAGTAATCATCTCATCATCTTCATATGTTTAGGACAGTTTTGAGATAAGTTCAGAGTCGGAATAGTTGTTTACTATCTGCCATCATACATAAAAAAAACAGAAATAAGTCGCTAGCAAAAGATGATATTTTATTTCATTATTTAAGTATAATAAAATCAATGCAAATACATACAAGAGTACAGTATAGTACAAAATACAGTAAAATAATTTTTAGATTTAAGATTCTATTGCTACTGATTTCTTTATCAACCTAATATTAAGAAAGTCTCGTAGTAACTAGAAATAATAACTACGTCTAATGTAGGCGGATATTTCTAGAACATACGTCGTACATTCGAAAATGAATGCACAAGTCAGTGACGTATCCAATTGGTCACAAATTATATTGAAAATGTCCTCCTACTCTTAATATCGATGAAATCATTTGTTGACTCTGACCTTGTGCTTGCATTCATGAATGACATCAGCTTGATAATCAATCGCAAATGCGGAAATATTATACAATGCATATAACCAACCGAGACACTATTGTGCTGTAAAAATTGTTTTACTATTATATTTATCAGGACTCTCAGGTATCTAAAACATGCTTTATTGGGTACTTAGGTAAGTAAATAATGTTTTTTACCGTATTCTAGATTTTTATAGGTGTCTTTGGAAAACTTCACCAATTAGTGTTATGTGTACATTTTTATTTGCTAATTGTCAGCATACTTATTAATGGGAATATAAGGTAAAACGTTAGCTATTTATGGTGTAAAGTTGATGTTGTACAAGTGTAAGAGACTACTTAACAAGCTTGTTATACGCGACGTCGTCTGCGAAATAAGAGATAGCCCGTTTTCGTAATTTCACGTATCTTTAAATAAACCTGCATTAAGATCTAAGCCGATTAGTTGTGTGAACGTAATAAACAGACAAACATACTTTTATAATTATAATATTAGTATGTATTAGGTAAGTTTTTAGTAGATAACTAAACTGTGCAGATAGGTATGTACGAAATCCATTTAAATTTCCTATATTTATGCTTGCAAAGTAAGTATCTAGTATATCGTAGGGCAATTGAAAAACTGCTATTCTGTAGTATATTTATCGATAACGTCAACTGAATAGAAGACGTACTGTAATAACAAGCGCAGGTAGATATTATAAACTATTTTATGAAACGGTTACGTAGTTACGTAAATAGGTAGAACTGTTTATAAAGTTGAATGCTAAGAAGCTAAACAACTTTATGAGACTATCTATAAATTATGTACAGATTCTATCGTTATATCTACTACAACTACTCTGTCGCTTTTCAGTAATAAGCGGGCACTAACTGCTTTTAACTTTCTTACTATAGATTTACTTTTTAAATAATTAAATTGAAAAAATATGTCAAATTTATAGTAAGAATAGGGGTTTTTGTAACGAATGAGATCGACAAAAGAATATCAAATTAACTGAAAAGAAATAAAAGCAAGAAATGTCTTTAGCTAGAGCAAATGCCAATAACTGGAATTTATTATATTTATAGATACGAGTAATACTTAGTTCATTCGAAGTCATATCTTTAGAAATACAATAGCAGTCACGACAGTTGTCTAGACAAATACTGCAAGATACGTTGGTATCCTGTAGTTATGCAGAACAAAAAGACCATCAACATGCAGAAAAAACATTATTACTCACGCAAAGTATATATTATGTAAGTAGTATGTTTAGTACCTAGAAATATTACAAATTTATGACAATAAGGCCTATACTATTCATAGGTTTATAGTATTATCCAACATACGTAAATATAGTTATATCTATTAGCAGGCTTTGACATTTGACTTAGATTTTTTTAAGAATATTGCTTTAGGTTTTATCTACTTTATTTTTAGTTCTGCATGTCATAATATATTTTTATACCATAATGGAATTCAATAGCCCTACAGGAAAATTTAAAATTTATATCTTCGAATCATATTTTAAGTTGGGTTAAGGAACTAGTAAGAGTGTAGATACATGTACATAAAATATCGATATCCTATTACTATATACACATGTACCTAACAGTAATGTAAACAATCTATAGTACCATTTACCACCTATATATATGGTTCTACCAACTAATTTTTTTTTATTACTAGCAATTGTTAGAGAAATCCATTGATGTATTTATTATGTAAGCACGTAAGTACAGCAATGGTAAGGTCATTGTGATAAGTACGTACGTACCTACTAGACTTTTGTATTTGTACATATACGAGCTTCATCACAATTCACCATGTTTTAAGCATCGGAATAATTTGATTAACACTTTATATGTAGATCTTATGCATTAATCAAAGTTACATTTAATTTAATTCTCTTGCAAAGTCGCCCGTGTGAGTTATTAAAACATGCACTTGCAATTAAAGTTAAATGGATCGAAATATGGATACGGGATAGCGTGTTGCATGTTTGTAATAAGCACAGTTCACTCTTTATCGTTACAAAATATCTAAAAGTTTTTTATTACATTAAATTAAAAGGAAACTGTTATCTACCTGTTTTGCATGCAAATATGTATTTTGTATTTTTAACATAATCACTATGATGGCTGTTTGCTACAAGGAAACACTGAATATTAATAGGAAATAATTGTAACTGAATGTGGTTTCATAGTAACTTTAGTAATTTGATAAATATAACATTTTTCGTGGTTGGTATTTATTATGGGCATTGTTTTGAATAATTGATACCGGCATAAATGACCATAGTTTTAATGTAATTCTACAATGCATGATATATTGATAATGCATTCGGTAACGTAATATTGTACGGTACAAAGTGCATTATAAGTGCTTTTGTACCTATTACACCATTATTTTTAATTATCAGACAGATTTTTCTTAATTTCGACGCAGGTTATAATAATTTGGAGTAACGGGTAATTACTGTATCTACTTATCTAAAATGTTTGTGTTATAACGTAGCGTCTGTACTAAATATAACTATCTACTGTAATGTATTTCGCAAACAGAATCTGACAAGCATAGTAAGTAAATTTATAATTATTCAATTACAGAAGCATTTAGGTACGTAATTACATTTATATTCGTCAACTCCGTTAATTAGCATTTTGTCACATCTAAATAACAATTTATCGGCTGCGAAGGTTATCATTCCAATTCAAATTATGCAAGCGGTTATATATGTATGTACATAATACTTATTTATGCACGATGTTATTTATCAACCTTGGTGGTGGTAGCGCTAATAGATATTCAATTTCAATTAATTGTTACAATATTACTTGTAATACGCAAATATACGTATCCGTAGGTAGATTATTTTAATTATGTCCTAAATATTTTACTAATTATATTACAAATGGATGGCTAATAATGTAGTATGTATATGCTATACCTGCAGCGTCAGGACACGAGTTTATATTTTTTGCATGTATACTGATTGGAATTAAACATCTTTAAGTCATATCCGAGATTAGTGCGTACAAACCCATAGACAAACAGACAAAAATTCTAAAACTCATTCTTGGTTCTCTTTATGTTGGTAATATTTTTTCTCATGTATCGTCCATGTACAAACGGCGATCAGTAAACCACACCAGTCAATGTACTTTATATTTCAATAGAGTTTTTTAACCTTTTATTTATTTAGTTTTTCTAACATCACGTAGTTTTAACAACGCGGTGAGGCTAGATTGAATTAATTTATTGTATGTGTATTAAAATCCCATGGCAACCATCGACCGAAAACATGGAAGGAGTATTCGACGGTGTAACAATGTAGACATAATACTAATTTCTCTACTTAACAGTAGAAATAAAAGAATATATAATTGAAAATGTACCTGTGGTGGATAATACGCTCGCCAGATATCTGTATTCATAGACAATTTTCTTAACTATTCGCAGTTCCACCACATCTTCACAACACAGCGACAGCAGACAGTTGGCTGAGCCAAGCCACTGGGACAGTCTCAACTCTCCCTTGATCCAAGATGAAGGAGACGGCAAATCATTGAAGCTCCGTTTTGACGTCAGTCAATATACCCCAGAAGAGATCGTCGTCAAAACAGTCGACAACAAATTATTGGTAAGATTGTTAATAAAAATAATTACAGCAAGAAGCTAAAAATACATTAACGGATATATGTGTAATAAATAAATTTCATTGCTTCATTCATTGTACAAGTATAACATATGGCATCAATACATACATAGTCCGATTGTACAATAACTTAACTTAAAATAAACTTTGTACTCTTATACAATACAATCTAAGCATTAATTCATCAATCATAGCGAATAATGGTTAAATACTGTTGTAAAAAATATTCTGATGCGTATGCGTAAGAACCATTGTCACATGGCCCGATTTTTTTTTCTTATAGGATTAATGATCTAAACCCCCGACATTGTTTAGCATCATAAGATGGTAACCACCATGTCGGGGGCTATAACAATGTAACATCATAAGATGCTAAACAATACTTAAAAATAGTTAAACATTCTACTTTTTTATAAAAGTAACAAATTATATAAGGTGACAAATTATTTTTATTTATACAGTTTTTAACTAAAGTTTACAGTAAAAGTATACATTATATTTTAGTTACCATCTGGCAACATTACCAGTAATATTCCTTCCGTTGTATAATTCTATTTAGAAACCTTTCTATTTATGTCTCACATATATCTGCCAACATGTAGCTAATGTTCCGATCTGAAGAGTGAAGTATGGCAGTGAATTTAAAGGATACAAACTACGAAGGCGTAAAATCTTCAGAAATACTTGTCTGCCATTTTTGTTCTTAAAAAAGAATGACTACGGTCTCGATTTATGTAGCATAAAAGTATTTGGACGTATCAGAATACTTATTATTTTAAAGAACATACATACAATATTTTCATTAATAAATAAAACAATAAATTATCAACAGAACTATAAAATGTGTTAAACAGGAAACTCTGTTTAAACGGTATAGTGTCAACAGGTTAAATTTATCGTTACTATTGCATTCAAAGACAAGCAGTATATTATTGTTTTACAATAGTTACGTAAAAAAATTGAACAAAAACAGTCTAACAATTCTTCCACTACAATGCTGTTTGCTGTCAAGTAGCTACGTAGTTAAGTATTCGTAGACATTAATTGTGAGATTTTAAATAACTATTATTCTGGCGCTTCTAGCCAGTGCATCCTCTGCTTTGTCACGGTCTAATGAAGATAAATTGTCCGCAAAATAATGAACCGCATTTATTTATGGAGCCAAGAAAAAATGAGTCAAATATCTGGGTGTATGTGCGTCGCGTCGGCAACATGCCAGACGTTATCACTTTTGTGCACGTAAAATTTATCACGACGGGACATGTACAAGACTTGATCTCTTGTAGACTAAAAATTTTTGTGTGGGTGTATATGAGCAACACGAATAAATTGGACACTATATAGGTTGCATCAATAAAACGCTGTACACAATACATTTCGAGTAAAATAACTACAGTCAATTTATAAGCCAAATTGCGAAAATTACAGTGTTCGCATTTCGAATATTCGTAGAAGCGTTACGAATTTACATTTAATTTTGTCGTTACTGTGGTTTGATTCTTAAGAATCTTTTGAATATATTTATGAAAATGAATTCTAAAATAGTTTATGACTGTAGATATCTACGAAATGAGTCTTAAATTAGTTTTTTTAAGATTATTATTTTAGTTTGAATTCATATTGTATAGAATTTCTAATGAATAGAGTTGCATTTTTTTATAGAATTTATTATGTATCATTATGCAAACAATACACCATATAAAATTGTTTTCTACTTATTTGCGTACCATATGAACACTGTTTAAAATATAAAAAAGGTACGGTGCTTTTCCCTTGAAAACCGTCAATACGGGAATAAGAGTCCCGTGGGATTTTGGGGAAATTCCCTACTTAGATTTTGGGTGTAAGGAACTACTAGATCTAATTTCATTTTAAGTTCTACGTAAACTGTCAGTTCTTATCAAAGTTTCATTAATTATATTTATACAATGTATTATTTTTTTGTGCATTGTACATGTAGTGCGAATAAATAATAATAATAATAATAGAAATTTTGACAATTTCCAGGTGCACGCCAAACACGAGGAGAAGTCAGATACAAAATCAGTATACAGAGAGTACAATAGGGAATTCCTGCTGCCAAAGGGCACAAATCCCGAGGCTATCAAGTCATCGTTGTCGCGGGACGGAGTTCTAACTGTGGAGGCCCCTCTGCCTCAGCTGGCCATCACCGACCGGAACATCCCAATCCAGAAGCACTGAGCGACAACCGTGGCAGCTATCCAGTGCGACACAAGCAATTCCATACTGTTAATAATTTATTTTAATTTATGTTTCATAAATTACTGTAAGGAGTATTGGCGATATTATCTGATATTTATTTAGACTATTAAAAGAGAAGAGAATCTCAAAATTAATTAATTAACACTTATACGTTGTAATTGGTCAATTACACTCGTTGTGCTATATTCCATCGTTCATTGTAGAGCACAGATGCATTCTGCACTGTATATTTGAATGTTGCTTTTGTGACATTGCTTTCACTGTGATTGTAAAAAGTTTGAACGTTGTTTAATGCATTTCCCGTCGTGTTAGGCATTTCGGTTGGTTTAAAATTTGATTAAAATGACTGATAATGGTTTAACACGTTATAATTTCAGTTTATAAATATAATAAAGTGATATTACCGTAAATTCTCAATAATACTAATAAAGTGAGCTTACATGACGTGTTCATTGAAAATTATGTACAAAACGTACTTGTTCACATAAAATCAGTGCAAATTATGGCTATGGAAGGATACAACGACTGGAGACGTGTCTTATTTACAATTACAAATTTATCTAAGTCCATTTTCGCCTAACTTTTTGCCTGCTATCAGCAGCTATAACAAATGATACACCAATTTAACAGCTTTTAACTTGATACACATTTATATTTTAGTACAAACAGTTGTTATGAAAGTTTTAGATGTCAATAAAACATAAAACAATATTGTTTTTATTATTTAAAAATATCTTTTCAGTATTCTATTTGAAACATAAAACATTAAGATATGTCACGAAACTTACTTGATGAGGTTTCATTTGTTAATATTAAATTTAAAATTATATACGTAAATTTTTATGTAAAAGATGGTTCCTTAAAAATTCAGTAAGTACACTAAGTACCTAAATTTAAATAAATATTCACTAATAATAAAATTGTCTATATTTTTGGGAAGTATAAGGACGATAATGTTTGAAAATATTGTGTCTGCCTATACAAGCGTAATCTTATATATAAAATTCTCGTGTCACAGTTTTCGTTCCCATACTCCTCCGAAACGGCTTGACCGATTCTCATGAAATTTTGTGAGCGTATTGAGTAGGTCTGAGAATCGGCCAACATCTATTTTTCATCCCCCTAAATGTTAGGGGTAGTCCTTCCCTAAATTTTTTTTTATTTTAAGGCAAAACAACGTTTGCCCGGACAGCTAGTTATATATATTGAAGCGACTATTATTTCATGTTATGGCGTTTAATTTTCTACCTTGACATATATGACTTAGGTATATATGGCTAAACATAATTCTAAGAACCATGCACTTAAATTTTATGTTTTTATTAATTAGGTCTATATATAACGCAATGGTATCCATACCTATAGGAATGTATTCGTGGCATCCCATGTATATATGTAAACATAAAAAAGAAAGTTCCCTCGTGCCACGTGTATCTATATGTTCGCGATAGTAGTTTCTGAGGAAGTAGATCTAAGAAGGTGTATAATTAGGCAACCTTTACATTATAATATCAATATAGGTTGTTTTGTTTGTTGTTGGTTGATGTAGCCGTGATACCTTTTATACTTATTTTTATCGCGTTGCTATAGGAGAATACAAATCATTGCGGATGAAGTTTAGGCCAGTTAGTGTATAAATATACCACTGACTCACAAAAGGAATGTTTCAGACCATTGAATGTTTTAACGTTAACAAAGTGACTCATTGTTAATTAGAAGTGGAATTAGTGAACACTGCGATGAGTCATTCAGTTTAAGTAGATTAAAAGATAATAGAAGTATAAGTATATACAATACAGACAGTACATGCGACGGCCTCAGCGGTTTAGCTCACCGTGGTCGCGAGTTTGATTCCTCTTACGGTGCAAATATTTGTATACATGAGTATGATATTTTCTATGTATTTGCAAAAAATATCTAACTATTTATATTAGTTGTCTAGTATCCATAACACAAGCTTGGCTCACCGTTGGACTAGATAACGCTGTGTTAATTGTCCAGCGGAAAAAAAATTACTAATAAATTGTATAATTTAAATTTTCTATTCGTTACTATATCCATAGTTATTATATCATATAAAAAAATGCAATATAGCATAAAGGGAAATAAAAAAGCAATTTTAGTGTATATTTAAAAACTTTCGAATCATCCGCTAATTTTGAATTTATTTTACTGATTTTTAAAAATGATTCATTCATTGTACAATAAATGAGCGTCGTTTTTAAGATTTGCAATGCTACTAGGACACTATTCATTATATAGTCAATTTATTAGAAAAAAAAAAACAATGAGTCCTAGTAATCATAAAGAAGAAATTCTTAATAATATAAAGAACAAAGATTAAATTATTTCCAATGTTTTTTCCATAATAATGCTTAATTTATTATAAAAAAATACGCCATTTATAAAAACATTATCAGTTAGTAACATGGAAATTAAATGAAGCAACATTTTAATAGTAAAAAAATGGAAATACCTATAATAGACAAGTACGAAGCCATGGGCGGATCTACAATTCATATTATATACTAATATTATAAAGAGGTAAAGTTTGCGAGATGGATGTTCGGGTTTAATCTCCGGTACTATAGATCTAATTAAAAAATGATTAATGTATGATAACTCATTTATCAAGTAACGCTATAGGCTACAAAATATCACGCTACGACAATAACTTCAATAATTTTAATAAATACGTCGGACTTAAAATTTTCATACACGTGTTACATAATAGGTAGTTGCAGCATATATTATAAAGAAATACTACTGGAAAACAAGGTTTTTCTTATTTAGCGTGCAAGTATTCCATAGGTAAGTAGATACTAGAACCACTGCATAGATTTTATTAATTATTTTTCTATTTGAATTATTCATTTTACCAGAGGGACATAGGCTACATATATGTTATGTTAGTAATATAACATAATATAAATGTAGCCCATGATATAAAACTCAGTTACGTTAAGTACACAGGCGAACGAGGGGCGAGCCAATAGTAATGAAAAAAATATAAATAACAACAAACCTTGCAATACGGGTGGAAGAAGATTGTTTGTAATATGGACTGATGACTCCATTGCTAGCAATATACCATAACTGGTTGACCTCCTCCCTCTAAAAATCATCGTGAATTTGTCACTATGAGCTAACTGATCTGACCTCATATTTTTATTTTTATTTTTTATATAAACTTTATTGAATTGTGCAATAGGAGGGCTTAATGCTATTAGCATTCTTTAACAGCCAACCTTAGGGAGTGCAGAGATACTCGAAGGCAGTTTAGTTAATTAAATAAAAATATAATAAATAGATATACATAATAAAATATAACAAACATATAATATAAATTATAAACAAACTACACATAAATAAGATGATGATGAGCCTTATCACATACTATGAGATACATCTTCGTCTTATCATCCTCAACTGTTGCCCCATCATTATCATCAATGAAAAAAACCTACAACACGAAGTGCAATTTATAATGTAGTAAATATTCTATTTATATTGCGTGATTTATCTTACTTCATGACGACAGCATACTATTCTCGATCTAGGGATGACAAGGACGCTATGAGATTTGTATGCAACTGACAACCATAATTTTAGATATAATTGTGTCAACATGTAGCAATATTATTATTCAAGGATAGTAATGAAATTTATTTGTAGTATGTTTTACTACATTATAAAATATAATTATAAACATTTTATTACCAAAACTTCATACATAGGTTACCAGTTATAGTTATTCAGATATCACTCATTATTTTGGATATTTCGGAGCAACGTTTCTGAGCATTACTTACCTCACAAGTATATCCGTTAGGTAAGTAGACGAGAATTAGATTAGTGTATATTAAATGCTAATTTTATTGACGTGTAATTTTCGTTACCTAAATTTGGAAACCACATAACCGACGGCCTCGTTGGTATAGTGGTTTAGCACACCGCTTTACTTTCGATGGTAGCGGGTTCGATTCCGTCATTCAATTTCCACGGCACAAACATTTATATTTATGTGTATGATACAAAACACCCAGACTGATCAGAATCAGTCTGGTTGTTTTCTATGTATAATATGTATGTATTTACGGAAAAAAATATGTCTATGTATTTGTATCAGTTATCTAGTGCCCATAACACAAGCTTGAGCTAGCTTAACTTGGGTCTAGATGGCGCTGTGTGAATTGTCCTGAGGGTGGTCCTTGAGCAGGACACATAATCTATCCATATGAAAATGAATCCCGTATCCCATGGTTTCGGCACAACTTGAGAACGATATAACCGATTTCATTATTATTATTTTTATTTCTAATAGTTCTACAAAGGTTAGTTTCTTATGGAACTAAAAGTAAGAAAAAAGCCCAGATAATTTAAAAAATACGGAAAACTTAATGATCACTTCGAATTGCCGCGTTTGGCAGTTCGGACACTTGACCATAGCTGTCAAATATTATCTGCTTGTTTGAACGAAATAGCGCTAAAGATTACTAGCGAGAATATAATGTAAGGATTTAAACTCTCCAGATGTATCGCTAATAGGCTGCCTTGCTATATGTTTGTGTAAGAATCCAAAACAATCTGTACTTGTGGACTATCAAATACATTTATATCAATCAAATGTTCAGTTTAAGTGTGATACAGTCATTATAAAATATCTGAACTGGTAATAGAAAATCACTCCTTAGGTGGCTACTTCACGCCACTTCAACTGTCACCTGTTATTTTTGTTAAGAATAACTATTACAATTAATATGCCAAGTGACTGTACAGGTTGGAAGCAATGTTTCATATTTCACTCATAACAAGGCCAGGTGAGCTCGCCAACTACATATAAACTTATTCAGTGATTCATTAGTCAAATTTAATACTAGTACCTAATATTCATTTGAAAAAGCAAACTATAGTTATAAATAAAATTGAAGTGTTTCTGTAATTTCAAATTAACAGCTTTTCATTATACGCATATGAGAATATATACGGTACTTACAATTGTTTATCTCTTTCTTCTTGCTAATCTCTAAAACGGCTGGACCGATTATGACGAGACTTTCGCTCACATATATACAAAATAACTTGGGATGCTTTTATTTATTTCAATAAAAAAAGTACAATTACATGCGGGCGAATTCGTTATTAACAGCTAAATCAATAAAAGTATAGCAGATTTTGATTAGTCTATGTTAAACTTATATTTCAAACTATCTCAATAAAATCAGCATCAGTCTGTCGAAATGATAATCGTCAACTATGATAATTTTTACTGGCTGCACACTTAGAAATAAGATAAGATCAGGTACGTATGATATTCCATTGAAAAGGAAATTAAAAGAATTAAAAACAAAACATACCATCACGATATATCCCAAATGGAGTAGTCAGAGCAATTATCAACTGTCGATGTTGTGTACGCAACACGTGCCCACATTTCTCTCAGTATATTTTGAATCGATAATGAAAACGTGACAAACTTATTTTTATATCGGTGTTTACTTCACCAGAGAGTAAGTTAGACATAAATACATAGACGAAGATTTTTTAGTGTCGGCCAGATTCGAACTAAATAAATCAGAGTAGTAAACTACTATGTCACGTGTTCTCGAGAATAAAAGAAAAGACAATAACAGAAAATAAAGAATATAATATTAACTTTTCTATTTCTTTAGGATGTTTGTGATATAACCTCTGGCGTGATATGCAAATATAACAAGACTGCATACCACTAATGCATCAGTGATGTATCCCATTGCTATTTCTTGAGTTGATTTTGCTCGAATTAGATCGGCCGGTTGTGGGTTGCTTTTGCTTATCTGTAATATATTTAAAAATATATCTTTGGTACATTATGCTTATACATTAAAAAATATTTATTTGTTTATAATGTCTTCCTACAATTGATACGATTTTTAAATTTACATCTTTATATTTTTCCAATGGTTATGTAAGAAGACTAACATGAACGTTTTTAGATGGATTACATTAATTTTGAATATCCATTTTCAAACGTATCTAATATTAAAAAAACATTATAAAACTTGTCATGACTATGAATATTCACAGTCAGAACAAGTCTAAAAAGCATACGAGTTTTGGTCATGTATAGTCAATTATTTATAGAAGATATTCTTTATATATCGGAGAACTCTGGATTTTACTGCATTTAGAATATAATCTTTAATATAATATCCAGAAAAGTCTGGATAAAAAAGGTTTCCAATTACAATTTGTAAAGTAAATATACTAAGTTGATGATTTATTTTACCAATTTAGAAATATAAATGAAACAAGAAATGTAAAGCATTAATTTGAATTATAATATGATAGAATGCTATATTATTAAATTTCTAGATGATTTTAGTAAACTATGTGACATGCTACTATGTACTTTTATGTTAAGTACTTAATAAAAAGTATTCCTATAATTTTTAACATGTCTACAATCTTTTTTATATGTTTGATTATTCAAAGGATTTTTATCCAATATGCAAAACATACTAAATGTTAGCAGAAATTAAAGAGACTGTCTTACCCTAGTGAGAACGCTCCTCATGTTTTTAATTTCTCTCCTAACACTGTTGATATTTGTCAACATCTTTTTGGCAGCATTTTTCATTTTTATAATCAATGGTGAATCAGGAGGCTCAAACTTTATTTGGTTCTGAATCTTAATATATTCACGTAGCGTATATTGTAGTGTTGCTTCCAATACATATATTTGTTGTAGATGGGTTCCTAAAGTTGTTAGACAATCTAAAACACTAAAATGTATAGAACAAAAATTACAATGCCAGTGTTAAGATTTTAGAAAAATATTTTGAACTATTATTATTAGCCACAATGGAGTGTCAATTCAATTCAAGTTTCGCTGCTGGGGACAAGTCCCTCACTATTTCCAGGTGCAAACTACATATATTTCAAGGATATATTTATAAATCCTACCCATATACACAATTTTTTACTGACATATTTATATGTCCCACTAGGTTAACAGGTTAAGTATAAAGTCTTATTTTGCAGTTGTCCCTCTCATTTACCCATGTATACATTAATTACACAAGCCTTTATTAATTACAAGATCATGGGTATGAAAAGGAGTTATGGACACATTAGCCTCTTATTTTTTGACAAAACAGATATATATTAAAAACACTTGCCAATTGAGTTTTAAAAAAAGAAAGCCGAGACGAATCAATAAAATACATATTATGTTATTAATGGAAAAGGTTTTTTTAAAAACTAACCTGTAACTGTCCACTTTTCGAGCATATAAACCAGCCACTGCATTTAATTTCCAGCCCCTCAAGTGAAAATTACGTAATCCATATTTTAGTCTTTGTCTTTCAAAAGGCATATCAATACCTAATTTAATCATATCGTCTTCCTCCATAAGCAGAAATGTTCTGAGATCTATTGTACTACTATCAATGAGAGGTCCAAGACGTTCACAGTTCATGCCATAGAGCAAATTGGGAATTTCACCTTCATAATCCAACCTGTAATGAAAATAATAAAAACACAGATAACAATTACTCAGTCACTCACATATTGTGATAATAATATAATTCTATGAAACCATAGTAATGTAAATAACAACATTAATAGAAATAGAAAATAGCAAACATCAATAGGGTGGAATTTGTTTTCAATATTGTCTCAAAAGAAAAATGTACATCAGTTAAATTATGCATTTCTAGTCATGCATTGTATACAAACAAAAATACCTATACAAACATTTGAACTTACTTTTCTCCTGTCTTTACCCCAGGATAATAGTCATACCAAGACCTAAGTTGGTTCAAATATACATTTTTATTTGTCTCCTCAGTATCATCAATTTTCAAATGTTTGTTCATAATTTCAATTATGTTCTGATAGTCATGTGATAATGCAATATCAGAGGGTGTTCTACTGGATCTGTCCACTTCAGTCAGTCTTGCTCCATGAGCAATTAGCATTTCGAGGATTTCTGGTTGATTGTGGTGAACTGCCCAAAACAGTGCCTAAGTAGGTTTGTACAACTATTTAATAAGATTTAATTTATAGAAAAAAATATATATTATATTAAAAGTCAAGGCCTACATTCTTAAGAAGACAATACTTTCAGATTCCATAGATTGTACTTCTAATGGTATCATGCATCATTAAAGGCAATAAATTATTTTATTATTGGCTGAATATAAAACTACTATATTGATCTTGTCAGATGTTTTGAACTTTAGACTGTTTACTACCCAGATACAAGTAAAAATTACCCCCATTGCAATTGAAACTATTTATTATACATATATTAATTTATAGCTAAATACCAGTGTACTTACAGTCCAACCCTGTTGATCTCTCATTTCAATATTCACATCCTTTTCCAATAACTTCTGCACAACAGCAACACGGCCACTACTAATGGCTCTCATAAGTGGAGTTTGGCCATATTTATCACCAATATTCAAAATACAATTTCTATCTAATAGGTTTGTTATAATGCTGTATATTGCATCATTATTGGCACTGCTGTTAGAACAAGTAGCCATTATTGGTGTCACTGAATCTATAATATATAATAAAATGTTTATTTAGTTGTAGATAAATTTTAACAGTTGTATGAGGTAATTAAATAGTTATTTTAAGACTAATTATAAAGGATGGAGAACAAGACGATGAGCAAAGAAAATAGCACTGGTATAGTCATAGAATATTGTGTTATAATGACTTATGTCATATAAAAACAATATAATATTTATAAAAATATAGACAATAAAAGAGGTATATAAAATAGTTTCCAAGACTAACTGACCTGCATGTAAATTAGCATCAGCACCTTTGTTCAATAAAAATTCAACAATTCTGTCTTGTGCATGAAAGCATGCATGCATGAGAGTTGTCCATCCACTATCCAGTTTCAAGTTAACATTGTCATTCAGATCTGAAATCATTAATACAACATTAGTACAAATAATTTTTATAAACAATAACATTTATTCCTTTATTCTAGTGGTTGGTCAGTTATAATTTGATTATAATTCAGAAACATTTTAAGTTACATATGTATGTTAAACTGATAACATTTTGTTTTCATTAAATGCTTAAAAGTATTTAAGCTTTATATAGTAATAACATTAGCTCTGCACTACTTTACTCATATAAACTAGAACTGTGTCAAATTTCACACATATCTGTCCACATAAGTTTTTTAAAAATGGTTCAAATTTTTTGTTATTATTAAGATAATTTTTCGAGTTCTTACTACCCACAAAAGTCTTATTTTACTAGCTAAATGTGGAATGGAAATTTAAAAGTAAATATAAAAATATATAATGCACAGTTTTAATAAGGTGTTCACTGACAGAGTTCCTGACAATAGGACTGTTATTTGCCACTTGTTTAAAATGGATGAAAAGATGGAAATGAAATGATAAATTCAGGTTTCAGACAACATAATTACAGATTTTATTAAATATTTCCAGTTTAATATTATTACATACATTCTTATGTATGAAGCAATAAAACAATGTTTAATTACATATTAGAATTTGATTTAATATAATACATACATTCAACTCATTTTTAATTATCAGGGCCACATTCTTCCCTTGCAGATAAAATTTAAACATACTTTTTTAATTTTCATTCATTACGATTGGATCAAACAGTAAATCATTACATAGTATAAATCAAAGTCACTGTCTCTGTCTGTCCCTACGTATGCTTAAATCTTTAAAACTACGCTACGGATTGTGCAGCAGTTTTTTAAATAGATGTAGTGATTCAAGAGGAAGGTTTATATATATAATACATGTACACCTATGCAAAGCTGGGGGGAGTAGCTAAAAGAGTGTTTCTGATTTTCTAAAATTGCATTAATTAGAGGAATGTCACAAGGAAACTTACCATTGAGAACAATTATTTCTACTTCTTTCAGATTGCCATTAATAATAGCGTCCTGTAATTTATTTTCTACAGTTTTTCTTTGATTTTGTTGTGTGTGGAAATATGATTTTGGCTGAAATATGAAGATTATACACATTTTATTATGGCACAAAATATTACTTTCGAATATTAATTTTCGATTACTTGAAAACTTAACCGTTTAAATGAAAATAAGAAAAATATGTGGGTACAGAATAAAAATACAACTTACAGCAGAGTAAATAAAAATGTATTCATTATCACTAAAAGATTATTTTAATGTAATGAAAATACGATCAAAAATAACTTACTGGCTTTTCATAAAATCCATAATCATCACTATCTGAATCTTCATCTGACAAACCGGCGGGCCTGAATTGTGCCATGATACAAGTTATGAATAAAATAAGAACATATGACGAAAACCTAGATTATTTGGAAGTTTCATGAAATGTGAAGCAAACAAGCAATTAAAAGTAAGTAAGCTAAAATATATTTCAATACTTTGTTCAGTCACTCAAAAAGCGTATTATAAATTCGCTAAAAGCGAATTGTATTGTCAAACAAAACAGTCAGTGCTAACGTATGTCAAAATGACATTGATGGTATTGGTGTTTCTAGCTTAAAAAATTTAAGGACAAAATCAGAACATTCATGAATAAAAAATTCAGTTTTTTATTGTTTTCGGCATTTCTTATCATCATTATTACATTGTATAAAATAAAGTCGTTGTCGCTATCTGTCCCTATGTATGCTTAAGTCTTTAAAACTAAGCAACAGATTTTGTAGCGGTTTTTTTAAATTGATAGAGTGATTCTAGAGGAAGGTTTATATATAAAATTCATGTCCACTTGTGCGAAGCCGAGTGGAGTAGCTAGTTATTAATAATAGTAAAATAATTATAAATAATATATGATTTATTTTGTGAAATAAGTAGATTGATATCCGTTTTCTTCGGTAAAAAACAATCTCAGTGAGTCTCACTTCATAGTCTCAGTAGGTAAGTTTTAAGTAGATATATTTAGGACACTAATTTGGCTTGGCTTCACTGGCATTGGTTTGATATATTTCACTAGTATGTAAGTATTTTTCTATTACGCCAAACAAATCTGTAACTAAATCTATCCACAAACATTACCTTCCGGGCACAATTTTGTATAACGCTAATTAAAAAGAGGGATTAATTTGCGTAGCTCATTACGAGAAAGCCGAACTTCATCATCTTGAGTATTAATTTTGCTGCAAAGGTTTTAGTAAAGAAGTAATACAGCTGTTTTTAATCTTTTATCCTATCTTATTGATTAAAATATTTCGAGACAAATAAAGTTGATGGAATAGGTATTGAAATGACGAAATAACTAGACGTATGACTCTTTTTACAAGGTTTTTTTTTTAAGTTGGGGCAATTCGGATCACCTTTTTTTTCGACACACGCCATTAAGGAACGAAAGGATGATTATTACAACCAGTTTTCCATTGGTTAATATCCTAGTATGTAAAATTGAATACACCAAGGAACATAATACTCTAAAGAAGAATACACTAAAGTAACTAAGCAATAAATAGAAATACACATGTTATCAGTAATACCTATAGTGTGGGCTATAGTTAAAGAAACAAAACAAAGCATACAATAGTACCTAGCTGTCACTAGAATTCCGAATAAAAGTCTGGAGTAGGTAGCTACAGTTCTCAAGCTTGGATGGAAGTCATTCTACGCGTCGGGAGGTAAGGATAATAGGCAACAGTTCCAATTAGGCGACGAGGGCGTTTGTTAACATTTAATTAACGTCAGGGATCCATTGTGTCCGTGGCGGGCTTCATGGCTGAGCTCGTTGCACTGCTGCGTCTTAATGACGGGCTCCAACTTATAGCGTTTTGTATTACAAGCTTGTATTAGCATCGCTGTAGAAAACAATTGCATTCACTAAAGTCTATTAGTTATTGTTCTAGAGTAGGTGAGATATTAATGAAAGTAATATTTGATTGAGTGTGTTACTTAGTAGTATCTAACAGTACTGTGCTATGCGGATTGGTACTTTGATTTGGTTCGGATTGTCCTGTCGGATTATCAGGATTTCACACAACGGGGAGAACCATCACTGCTATTTCTTTATAAGTATAAAAAGTAGCATTTATGGTTAGCCTATGTCAGGTAGTATTTAGATATTTTGACTGTGCTCACCTACTGTACTGGAAGAGAGTTTCGCAAATGTGACTGATTGTGACAATAACGAGAAAGATGTCAAAAAATAAGGAAATTCTTGTATCGTAATTGTAGATGGCCCCAATTTGACATATCCCTTATTGGTTCCTTTTTTCTATGCTAGTTTTCATACAGAGTAAGAGAGTAGGTACCTAATCCAAACCTAAGCTCGTTTCTTCTTTCAGGTACTCACTTGATTATATAATTACACGTTTATAGTCTTATCAATAATGAAAAACTTACGTAAAAATTGAACTGAGATGAATTCAAAATGAATAATTTGTTATTTTTCTATTTCAATTCAATCGCTTTGAATAGTTAGCACATTTCATCATTGTGCATACATACACGTGCTCAAACTAATGTACCTAGTTAGCATGTCCTTTTTCGCATCTACGCAATACAGCTTCGATTCAATACTAATATCTAGGTATCCATGTGTTTGGGTATGTATAATCTGCTCTAACGTCAATCATTTCATAATATTAGGTTTTGTGTTTGCGTAGTGAATGTAATAATGGTCTTTTTTTGTTGGAAGTCGAAGAAAATGTTTTCGAATGTAATAAGAATTTTTCTCATAGCGATGTAGAAGGTAAAAGATTTGATTTATCGCAGTGGGCCGGCCAAGGCGCGCTGACCAGCCGGGAACCGGGCGCTGGGCGGCGCCGCCACCGTCCGGACGCGTTATTAAACTTTTCCCCATATTAAACATTCCGGAGACGAATACATTTTATTGTTGCTTCGGACCGACGTCAGAGGGCCCAACAAAGCGAAACTCAAAGACGGCAATTGCGAAATAAATTGAAAGCAATTTGATATTGCGTTGTAAGTAATAGCCGTCAGGACCCCACTACTCTGTGGAAGACATTTTGTATGCAATTTAGAGAAGTTTCAACGGCCCATTTGATTGCGGCCTTTCGCTCCAATTTTGGGTTCCTGCCGCTGATTAATGACTTATTTTGACTTATGGACGAGGGAATTTTCTATAAATATGTTGGTAAGTACCCTGTTATTTCAATAGTTGTAAAGATATTCAAACTATAGTAAGTAATAGGTAAGTATTTTATTCAACTCTCTCATATAACAAGAATGACTTAGACAAACCCTCCAATTAGACGACGACGGCTTTGTTAACTTTTAATTAACGAAGTTGTGTAATTACTACACATAGTTATAATTTAAATATAGGTATCTACACAGAAAGTAAGTACCTACTTACTCCAGTGAAAATAGGATTAATAGGAAGATTTTTAGTATAACAGTCTTATACCATTAAAATTTATTTCTAAATAACCATAATACAACTAATTACCTTTTGTAAAATATATATAAGTAGTTCTTTTCGTTTTATTTTATAGAATTAACACAAATACGAATAATCCATAAACAAACAAGGGCATTATTTTATTATGAGCATTTTGGTAAAGAATGTTGTTATATTTAAATTAAATTATCAATTTATTTACATTTACGTGCATTACGATGTGCTGCAGGTATACATTAAGACAATGATACAATTTTGTACAAAATATATCCTTAAATTAAGTAAAGTTTTAAAATAGCCGTTGCGGTGTCTGTCACATTTTTTTAGTAGATACTCGTATTTTAAGGAATCGATGATCTGCCTTAGTAGTTAAATAAATACCTACCAGTATACAAGCAGTGAAAAAATTGGGCACGAAATATTTTCAAGACAAAATTGAAATTCCTTTATTATCGTATAGGTATATAATTAAATGCACTTCCTGTAATAGGGAATTTGGTAGAACTTATATGTCTATATTTATTTTATTGCAATAATAAATAGCAAGCCACTCAGTTCAATATATTATTTATGAGAAAATCTATGAACCCGTATGCGATGCGATTATATTAATTCTATCCTTAATTGTTTTTTCGTCTGCATCTTGGCGACGTCTTCATCAGCCGCGACGGTCTAATCCGAAATCTCATTTCCGACAAATAATTGTAGGAAATAGAGCGAACCTCCCCCTACTTCGTGCTGAAAAACCATTGTGAATTTTTCGTATTAAGTAGCTTCACCATGCATGTATTATATAAAAATATCCAAAAGAATATATAGCTACTGGTACCTATATTTAATATAGGTACTAACTAATCATAAAAAATTCAAGTATTTAAATTTTTTCCAACGTATGACATAAATACTATGATTACATTGCAGTAGAAATATGAAGCTGGATTATACCTACAGAATATGACGCATTGCATAGTAGTCGTCAGAAATACCAACGCATGAGTGGCATCGCGGGTATCACGTGATAACGTGATATTTGTAGTGCTGTTCATATGTATAGGCGACGGTTACCACTTACGGACGGGCCGTCAAATTGTTCGCAGCTATTCCAGTTACATAAAAAGAAACTACAAAACATACCCCTGTACTAATATATTGTATACAATAGATTGTTAAAAGATTACTGTAGGCAATCATGGATACCAGAAAGGTACAAACCTAAAACTTGTGCAGAGAAGCACTTTGGTAATTGAACATACTCGTAAACTGGAGAAAATATAACATTCATTACAATTCATGTTAGTACCTACTAACATGGATTGTGAAGACCATTTTTGGCCGAGATATCATCACAATCAGCAATATCCCGCATTACGATTGCCTTCTTATCATAAACCAAAGTTTATGACTGGACGAAACACATGCAGCAGCAATAAATAATATCTAGGTATAACTCTAAACCTCATAAACATTCATATTATATTTGATTGGACTCGAATATGTTGAGAACAATTTGTTGGACTTACAATGGCCATAAATCACTGTACCAGTATATTTGTCTATCCCATCAGATTTTGTTATAATACATAGTAAACGTATAATAGATATTATTATTACCTACATTGTGATAATGTGGCTATTAGGTAAAAACCAGTAATTCGGTTGACACCTACATATAAGATTAATAATTAGTGCCTTATATCCCTAATCTCCAATTACATATTGATAATGAGACGTTTACACTCTAATAATAGTTACATTAATTCTGGTATATATTATTTTTCTATTATCCCACGGACATAATATAAGTAATGTTAATAAATATTTTTTGTAGTAACACGTTTATTTTAGAACTGATCATTTTATATATTGAGATTTTAATATTAAGAGCTGTACTACAGTTATACTACTTGATATTTGCGTGTTATATTTTATAATAGATTTTTTTATATTAAAGAATTTTCAAACTATATACTGTATCTAATTAGGTAATTTTGTAATGTATTTTAAATTAAATATTTCTCTACCAATGTATGAATTACTCGTACGTTGTGGGATTTTGAAATAATGTATTAATATAAGTGCCTTTACATGTTATACAGAATG